AATTATTAAAAGTTAAAAAAATAAGTGCAGATAAGTATTTGTATATTGAAAAAACATATTTTTTTATTTTTATAAATTTCGTTTGTTACGATAAAGGAGACATGTTTAGCTCGTGTTTTGAGTTTCATTTACAGTTACATTACTGGATACTTTTGCACTACTACACTACAGCGGAGTAGTGTAGTAGTGCAGTAGTGCGTAATAATGCAGTACCGCGCAGTAATGTATAGTAGTGCATAGTAGTGCATTAGTGCAGTAGTGTAGTAGTGCCTCAAAATACTACTGCGCACTAGTAGTGCTCAGTAGTATATTTTTCTACAAGGGAGGGTGTGCGTCACGACGGGGCCCGATCACGAACCAATCGTGAAAACTCGTAATTATTTTGCGAAAAAATATCACCTCAGCCAGGAATCGAACCTGGATCTCCTGCTTACCGGGCAGGCACCTTATCTCTTCGACTACCGAGGCATGTGATGACATTTATCGCACAAATAACATGTTTAGAATAACACGTCAAATAATACAATGATATACATATATACGTATATTACAATATACATATATACAGGGTTATTATTTGGTATATTTGGATTACTATTTGGTATTGTTATATTGATTGAGTTGTACATCATTCATATTATTATTAAATCTACATCAATCTATGTTCAATGTCAATATCTCTGTTACACACACACACACACACACACACACACACACACACACACACACACACACACACACACATATTATATATATATATATATATATATATATATATATATATATATAAAGATGTATAAAAATATATTTAAAATATAAAATATTTATTTAAATTTATTTATATTTAAAAATATAAAAAATTGTTGCACTTATGAATTTTCTTTATCGGATTTTATTATTGTGCAGAAAAATATAAAAATACAATAACTGAAAAATCAATATTTCACAAGAAACGTGATATTTTATGTCAAAATGTCAGAATAAAGTATAAAATAACATCTAAACGAACAACTTTTTGGCATAGCTTTACAATAGTTTTTTTCAAAGGAGAAAAATCTGCATCGATTAATGCATGAAAGTATTGAATTTCATTCAGAACATTCGAAGTACTAAAAAAGACCATGACCATGACAACCTTAAAGTTAAACCAATAGTATTATCACACATTGCTCTGAAAATTTTTCAACTTAAATCTTCATCTTATTTTTAAAGAAATTTATAAGATAGTTAAATAAGATGCATGTCAATTAAATGTTAATTAAATAAACAATAAATTTCTTATTATTTATTTTCAAAATTATCTATGCATATAAAATTTTTCCCGTGATTTTAAAAATTTAGGTTTAACAATAATGTATATTGTATAAATAAACATAAAAGAAGAAGTAATGTTTGCGTAAGTAATATTTGCATATATCCTACGTCAAAAATTAATCTAAAATAATCTAAAATATGCATCTAATTTCGAGCTCTTTCTTATGCAACAAATTTTTAAGAAATATTCACAAGCTAGATAATTTAATTTATACGACGCTATTTTAGTTAACATTTGCATTATCTGTAATAAATTTGAAATGAGATCAAGCATAGAATACTAATGGTCAACGGTCTCGTTGATCAGAATAGATTTCATCGAATTCCAAGCTCGAAGGACTGCTAACATCTAATTAGTTGTTTCACGAGGTTTGGTGAAGAGGGTTGGCGAGATCCGACGATACCGGCGAATCCGGATCGATTATTGGTTCTTATCGAATGCAAGGTTTCCGATGTATTATTGTACTTGTAGAAAATCGATAGATCTTAATTCGTAGCAATAGATCGAATATTCTTCGTACCTTTTGATCGTTTTCTAAATTATATCGATAGCATCCTCACACAAATTCTTGAAACGACAATCATTGTGTTTTTATTTATAAAAATATCGTTAAGTACATTTCTATATATACTCTCCAATATATATGTATTAATAAGATTTCATTAAAAGTCCGTGTCATATTATGTGCGAATTATTGATGTGCTCGTTAACGAACCCTCATCTCGGCTTCACTAACAGTACATAAACAATTTCTCTCCACGCATCGATTCTCCGGCGTAACAAATTTTACAACATCCTACGCCATGTTGGCGACCGGAGTACATTAATAATCTCGTCGTTGCAATTAATTGGCTGCTGAAGGCGGTCTGCGAATCGAGCGAACAACGTTTTGGCGTGATTATACCCGCGCCGAGGTAATAAGATCTAGTTTATATTGGCGGGAATATCCAACACGGGGAGCAGTAATATTCGTTGACAAAACAAACGATGTACATTGCGAAGGTAGAGCAGAAAATAAATTACATCGCGCGTATTTACGCTTTAACGCTACACAATGAGATTGTTGTGTTGTTACACGCCATTTTCTAAACCACCACCAAGGAAAATTGCGCTGAATCTTTTCAGTTAAGATTTTTTTATTTTCATCATGTGCGATTCCTTGGTTTGGTCTGGATGATGCCTCGAAAGCCGAGCCTCTGTTTCAACGAAAGGAGGGCGGTCCCGGAGAGGAATGTGACAATATCCTGCCTGTCGTGGCGCGGACGAGCAAAATTCCCTGCACGGAAAAGAGCGGGTAACCTCCCGCAGGATCTACGGGATTCGTGGCCGGAAACCGGCAAGAATGGTGATCGATGTATAATCACGTGAGAATGTACAATTCTCCTCTCTGCCGTGTACATGCACACCGTGGCTGTAACATTCTCGTGGGGCGGGCACGTATTTCCTTGCCAGGAGAGAAACTAATGCCAGCAATTCGGAAGTTTTCCGGGTTAACGTTGAGGAAGAATAGCGATTGCTGGTGCCCTACCGCGGAACGAAAAATTAATTTTGCATCCACGATAAAACACGTACACTTTTTCGGGTAGCGTAAACTTCTTAGCCCATTATATAATCTAAATTTTTTTTAAATGTTCTCTGATATCCTTTGTAAATTGTACTTATTATACACGATGTTTTTGTTTTCAGATTTATTTTTGTATTCAGAGAAAAACATGCATTATTTTAATTTGTAATCGCTGCGTTGAAAAATGTTGAATTAAAAGCAAGAAAATAAAAAAAATTTCACAAAATTCAGTGATGTCTTGAAATCCTGACGGAATTTTAAAAAGTTTTAAATTAATATTTTCTTTTTGAACAAACGCTCCCTTGTGACATTTCATTATTAGTATCTTGACAACTAAATCTCATGTTAACGCAATAACTGGAAAAGCATAATGGCATGGTGAATCCGTGATGTTTAATTCCGGGTTTAGGCGACGCGCAACACCGAATTAAAGTTCCGAGAGCCCGTCTCTTAAATACCTGCGAGCTCGCGATAAATCCAGCCATTGGAGCGTAGCCGACCGGATTATTTATCCCAAGATTATTTCCTCGTACAATTCCAACTTCCGGTCTAATCCTCCCGCCGATCGCTAACGCCCGGTCCGGAGTCACCAGCCCGAATCACGAGCCCGGTGGTTTACGGCAGTTCGCTCCTCGCGATCGCGCCGAGCAAAAAGGCGGCATTACCGGCGTCGCTCATGGGCTGCTTTTATTTCAGGAAAGTCGTCGAACAATTTCTCAACGGATTATACCGAGATTTGCTCTCCGGAAAGTTGGATAATTCCTTTACAAGTTCGCGCTGGAAGAAGTTTCGCCCGTCGCCTCCCGCCTATCCCGCCGAAACCATCCCTTCATCTCTCGCGGCTCTCTTTTTCTGTCTTGAGTCCCGCAGGAGGACAATGGGAATAATTTCCTTTCGCTTCGAGGCGCCTCCCTGACGCGACAAAATTAGCGGTTCGGTTCCTGCGGATTCTCAAATCTGGATTAAAACGGAGATATCGTTTGAAAATTTGACAAATACCAAAGCTTCAGTCGCGGTCAATCTGAAAATAACAAATGCACTTGTTTAAAAAAATTTTCATTTTTAACGAAAAAAAGGAGCATAATACATGTAACATATGCATAATAATATCTACAGCTATCTAAGTCGAATATCTGTATATTTTATGAATGCATACGATGCTTCTTAAATATACTTAAATATTTCATGAAACTATATCAGTCAATTTTCTAATTACTGAGTCTCAACAATGCGGCATATTTGTTTTTTTTATAGAGTACAATGGATTACAATGCTAAGTATCTGAAGTTTTTAATTCTCTGTCTGGTATTGTCGGAGTACGAAGCGGACAATAAATATCAAACGAATCTTTCGAGGAAACGACGTTACGTCGTTTTTCCCGAGGGCTCCACGTTTTCCGTAAGTATTGCACAATATATCGATCCATTATCGCAAATAATATCCGTAATTTTCTCTTAAATTCAAACGGTATTATCATTCATAGCCAGAAATCATTATGCTCACGTTCGCTCGAATAACAGATTTTTACAAAATAAATATTAATTTAAATGCAAATGTAACGGGTGTATTAATTAATTTAACATTTAGTTGTAAGAGACGTCGCTTGCAAGCTACTGTATGCGGTAATTAACTCGATAATTAATTACTTATCGATTGAACGCACTTGCCAGTAGGTAATTCTGAGGTTACATGGCAGAATTATTATATTTTATTATTATTTGCATGTCATATACACTATAACATTTTTTAGACTTATGACAATCTGAATAATTTTTGTTATTAACAGTTTATGCGATAACTACCGAAAATCTATAAATTTTAAGAATTTCAGATAATCCTCTTTCTTCAATTAATTTTTTGTCAAATTAGACATTTTTGTGATTGTAAATGCAGTATAATTTTTACTAATTTGTACATATAAAATTTTATTATAAAATTTTATTATAAAATATTATATTATAAAAATATATATGCAATTTGTTAATATTATTTGTAAGAAAAATAAAAATATGTCAAAAGAAAAATAGATTTTCTATTATTGATCGTAATAAATATGATAAAGACATAAAAACGAGAAAACAGTAGATCCAAAATTTAACTCGCATATTGTTTATAGATCGCTCTTTGCCTGACCGTGCACACTTTGACCCCAGACAACATCTTCACAGAAGGCCTTAACTGGGGCATTTCTTACGACCTGCCCAACGAGAGTAAGCCCGCCCTGGAGCCCTTCCTAGAACTCAGAAACGATAAACTTAAAACAGGCAGCAAGCACGATCATTACGGTTCCACAGCAGTTTATAATAAATACAGTGCCCTAAATTCAGGATGGAACGGCAACATTAGGCAGCATTTTGCACCTAGTAGAAATAAGTACCGCAAGTCGGAATACTATTACTTGCAAAGGAGACACCGGAGGGATCTTTACAACAAACTGGAAATCATCATGAACGCGTAAGTATTTCTGAGTATTTTTGTAAAATACTCAGAAATAACTAAACAAGCAACTCGAGAAGTTCTTAAAGTTATACCAAGGATATTTCTTTAAAGCAATTTAGTTTCTGAAACTACTTTTGGAAGAGGTAAAATTAATATGTACACTTGAGAAATTATCATTACGCAAAAAATATTAAGTGTACATTTGTTCTTACATAATAAAAGTTTATATAAAGTTCTTATTACACAAATGGAAATTTGTTCTAAGAAGTAATCCTCCAGTTTGAATTTCATGAGGATTTTAGTAGACGCGCGTTTGAGGATCGAATATTCGTAGAGCGCTCTGGAAGGGTGCAAATCGATAATGCATAATAACGCAAATAGCTGGGCATTACGCAAATTATGACAATAACACGACGATATACTGATCGATGTTGTCTAAATTGCGATCTAATTAATTCTGCACTTGATAACGATTAATAACACCCGCGCCCGCGTGTTAAGACAACAAATTTTCCCGGATCAACCGATCACCCACCATCATCCATTCAAATTGAGTGAATATATTAACCTGGATTTCAACATCTTGGGGAAGCGACGAATTTTCACGAGACGTGCTCAGATGAGAGACGCGCTCGGTAATAAAATGGAACGGCGGTTTTAGCGGGGCGATCGAACGGCCGTCTTGTCTCTTTATGGAGACCCGTCCGAAGTACTTCGGTTTCCTTCCGTGTCATCTATCGCGGCGTACCGACGTATCGACCGCATTAACAGGGGAAAAGCCGATACATCGTGATAATGATGGCGCGAACTCTTCGGTACCGCTAGTATGAAGCTAGAGACGCACTATTATCACGTCACGTGAACTTATAATTTCTCACGTCATATTGTATTATCGGCAGACAGACGTACGATGCAATTACGCGATGGATTTAGTCCAATTAGTTTTAATTATTTAGCAAAGATTCGAATTGCGTTTGCCGGAATTTTAAAATTGAATTTTCACGCTAATTCATAACATCAGACATCCCTTTTCTCTGTCTCTTAAACTTTATATGTAAATAATAAAAAAATCTATGCCAGTAATTAATACCAGATAAACAAAATGCAAATTGAAGTATTTAATAAGTTAAATTTATTCGATTTAAATCTTATGTTTCGAATGAAAATATTATTTAACGGAATATCTGATATTTTATAATTTGGCTCTTTTATGTCATGATTTTCATTTTGAAAATTTTATATTGTATTAAATGAAGAAATTATGTGTATCATTATCTCCATGTATTCAATAAAAAAGGAATCTAAATTAATAAATGCCAATGAATAAAATTAAAACATATAAATTGATGATACAAATTGGAGGAAACAGAGATCAATTATAATTTTATTAATGCGATTATGTATTGTGTGAGAATTCATGTGACGTAATAATATTTAATCTTAATTGACGGGATGTAACGTTGGTACATTTTATCTTTACTTATTGCAATTTATGGACATCAACTTCAAACGCTTTATGAAATATAAATGATAAAATGAAATATAAAATGATAAATACTTATAAAAAATATGGTATCGCGAAAAATAAAATAAAGGATGTTCACGTATGTGTCCAAAAATCCTTGATAATCCGATATTTGTGATTGTCATTTTTTATATATAAAAATTTTATAGCAAGAAGCAATTGGCAACATCAGCTAGCATTTGTATTGATTAATTTATTATCTTCAGAAAAATCTGCAGGATATACATTTACGTATCGCTTTCTCAGCTTCTTTTAAATCATACATACATAAGTTTTGTGGCAATATGTCAATTCTTTTTCTTCGCAAAAATATGATCTAAGATATTTTTGTTATCACAATTCGTCGGTTCTCTAAATAGACAAAAACAATTCTTTTCTACATTACAAGAATATCGCAGTACATTAACAAAAAGATAAATTTGTGTTATTTATAACTCTTACAAAGCAAATAACTTTGCGGCTGCAACTGACGTTACGACGAAACGACAAAAAGAGATCATTTGTTGAGTCTCGCATAATTCAGAGAACGCGTTCATTGCATCCCTCACGACGCTTTTAAAGACGTTTATCGAACGACATTTAGCAGCGTCGTTTACTCCGCCCGGGGATAACGAGGCGAGCGTTAGAGTATTGCGGTTAATATCCGCATGAAATCATTCACCCCTTCGCCGAGAAGATGCTAAAGTGGTGGTTTACGCCCGGCATTCTATGGCGACCGCTCGAGTTATGCAAGGATAGGTCTCCATATATGTGTGAGTGTGCCATATATGTAGGAGGAAAGGAACGTCGTCGATGGTTTATAAGGAATTGGTTAGCCGTGGTAGTGCCGTTGGTGCGGCTTAAGGGTGGCATGAATCAGAGTGTGGCGTTTCCACGGCCGCGGAACGGCGGCCTGATAGCGGGGGGTTGTTTCTGAACGACTCCGGCGGACCATTTATCCGTTTCTTGGGCCAACGACCACGGGAAAATAGTTTCTCTCTCTTCCGCGGCCGAGGCCATAACCAGATTTATACCCTCTGCCAGGGTGGTCCGATTATTTTCGTCGGCGGCGTTTCGTTCCTGGACGAATAAGACCGTGGCATTATAGCAGCCAAGCGTTTTTCCTTGAGAAGCATATAACATCGAAGTTATTTAAGTTACTCGGGACCTTATCTATAACATTGACGATCATTTGCGGAGAAATCTTCCACAAATATGATACATAACACAAAATCTAATATCGATCCTCTTATTTCTTGTAAAAAATATTTAATGGTAAAATGTTAATTAATTGATTACTACAAAAATTGATTACTACAAAAAAGATGAAACCAAGAGTAAAATATAGTTAATGATTTAAGTTTTATAATTAAAGATATTTTAGATATTTTAGATTTTTTTTAATAGTCGATATTATATAAGATTAATAAATATGAATATGTAATTAATTGTTATCCCAGCAAGAAAAATTAGATCGTTATTTATAGAATTCCAAAATTAACAATGTATACAAACAAGTTAATAATTTACATAATGTAAAAGAATAAACGGGATAATGTGGCATATGAGATTGTATTTACGTTAGGCAATATTAATACTATTTTCTTGAGATCCATTCCGTTAAGATTCTCCCCACAAAATAAATAGCAGACATTTACTTAAATTGCCGATCGTGAAATGTGTTCAGGTTCCTCAATTGCGTTTAATAAATGTTGTCTTATTTTTACTCCCAACATTTATCTCTTCACTAATATGAAACAATTTGCAATTATAATATAATTCATTTGTGGGTAAATAAAGTTTATGTATCATAAGACATTTTTATTTTGTAAAAGTAAATTAAAAATTTAAATATAATAAAATTTTATATTAATTAATGAAAAAATTGGTTATCTTTTGTACCAAAAATCGATTAGATTATTATGCAATTAAACACGATGCTATTTGAACAATTTTTCGTAGTCTTCAACATCTTTTAATCAAAAGAGAATTTGTCAATCAAAAAAGATGTTTTCCATATTCTTTGTCCGTTTTTGAAGTTAATGGAAAAATCTAATAACTGTTGTATCTAATACATTAAAGGTCTTTCTGGATATAAAGCAGCGATAAAAACCAGGTAGAAAAATTATTGTTACAATTTCACTATTCGCAAAAATAGAAGACGTAAATTAAAATTTAATAGAACACAAAGTGAATTTTTTGAATCTTTTTAGCTTTAAAGGTGTTCTTTAATCTTTGATGAAAAAAATATATAAAGATACCAAAGAACCTGTGATATTTTTAAAATTCTTTATAGATTAAAAAATTCGTTAAGAGCTGATAAAAAAAATGGATTATTTATTTCTTTCTTTCCTACCTATGTATATAATATATTTTAATTTATATAATGATAATAAATGTAAATAATTTACATAGTAATTAATATGCAGGTTTCAGTTTATTAGTTTTTATCAAGAAACTATTAAGAAATTTATTGTGTTTTCAGGATGGGTTTTGATGGCAGGACATGTGTTCTACGTGTGCTTTGCGAAGCATCCCAGCGATTAATGCCGAAGGGGAACACCTTGATAGAAGAGATGATGAGAATATCATTCTCGTAAGATTCTTAACGAGATGAAAGGGTTTGGCAAATGTGCTGCTCGAAGGGTCGTGGATTGGTATTCTATTTTTCGAATTCTTTCCTCTACATTTCACTTTAAGAATTCATGAATATCAAGTACCTCATAATTTTTAAATATTATGATTCAAATGCAGCAATAAGAAAGGAACAAATGCGGTGAAATTATAACTGATATATTAAGAATTTATAATAATATATAAATAATATTTGATATATAGCTTGAAATAAATTAAATACAAATTTTATCGTATTTTCATAAATATTTCATAAATATTTAAAATTTTTTAATTTTTTAAATAATTTTTTTTAATAAAAATTATGTTATCCACTCGACATTAATTGGCCAATATAGCTTTATTAGTTATCTGTCCTCTTGTTTCTAAAAAAACTCTTCACCGTTTATAAGCATAAAAGTTATCGCTGTCTCAACATTTTTATTCGATTCAATATCACTCGATATATCTCTTTGAAATATCAAAATTTTTTATCGTGAAATCATAAGTAGGTAAGAGCTTTTATAAAAACTTTACGATAAATTGGGCGTTTTTTCGAAAAATATGTCACTACTATAAATCTACTTTAAATCTTTTAATTAACTTTTGTAAATTTTTACATTTATACATTTTTATACCATTTTATTTAATATAAATGCTTAAGAAACTTAGAATATCATAATTTATTTGCACTACACCTACTCCAAATTAAATTATATATAAATCATTAAAATATTTTGCTTACAAAAAAATAACAGATAATTTATTAAAGCCAACGGCGATAAATTAAGAACATGAGTTATGTAATTATTTAAGAAGCTTGTTTGACAATCCACCTTTTCGATTGTTCCATAATTGACGAGCAACCTACTCGTCATCTTGGGCAACAACGCATGATTTGTTAGACAATTTTTCGCGGAAGAGTCTCTCCTGAGAGACTGTCATTTCCTCATTCTAGAAGAATATCTCGGACGTATTACCTCTACGGAGAGAAGACCGAGATCTGTCTTCCAGCCTCTCTTTCCCCCGTTGATCGTCCACGACCCTTCGGCGTGTAATTCGATCGTAGACGGGTCAACGCATGACTCGCAATCTAACTCGCTTTGCCTTTCTCGTTGCAGATTACCTCTGAAGAGAGTGTTCTCCTTCGAGCCGGAGGAGCACCGCACGTACACCCAGGCTCATAAAGCCGGCCACGAGGGTAAGGACTGCGCGGCCATGTTTCCCGGGTGCAGTTTCTCCCTCATCGACTTGGCCCTCGGGAAATATAACGCACCCCCATCCGACCGCCTCGGGGATGTTGCGGACCGCACCGGAACTTTCGGGACGGAGAACGAGCCTGCCGCGGATTGGCCGAGGTACAGCATGAGATAATGCGATGCATGCAAAACGGCAGGTTGATTTCGATGCTGCGGAATATATCGAATGATTCTTACAACGTCGACAATTCGTTCGCGTCTGAAGAAAACGACTATCACATAATGCAAGTTTAATTTCGTAATTTAAAATACACGATGAAAAAAATCCCGATTTTTTTTGTTTGTTTTGTTTGTGCTCCGAATATTGTGCAGAACAACAAAAATGTGAGAAACTGAAAGGACGATATTTGTAATAAGTGTGTATTATAATATAAAACGTTAACAAACTAATAATTAATATTGCAATTCGTTGTTTACTATTTTCTGTACAAAGCTAGCGCAAGTTACGTTCAAACAACGTAATATGCGATTTGCGAGTACATCATTACACAGAATGACGCGGATAACAGAGTTGAAAGTGGAAACTGGGACGTTGAAAGCCAGAGAAACATTTCATATGGCGCCGACAAGGTGGATACGATTCAAATGTCCCATAACAAGCTATAACAATATACCTCGTTACATCGTTATCATGCATGATAGTATGATTTAACTAATTGGATAAGATCGTATATCGGATTGAACGACATGGAATATGAAATGGGAAAATATATCGGGAACCGATAAGAAAAGATCGAAGAAGAAATGACTTAAGGACTTGTTGAAATTCAAAGGGATGTATTCCGTTCCCATTCTGTAAGTACGTAGCCAATATTGTATACGATATTTTTAGAGTATTGAAATTTCCTTTTAAATTCTGCGGCACTATTATATTAGATTCACAATATTGGACTAAACTTAAATTTTCATACTTATCAAAAAGCGAATTAATTAGATTCCTTTATAAACCACCTACTTTCTCATATCTCGTTAATACTTATGAAATTAAAAAATAAATGTTAAGAACCTTTATGAATTATCAGAAATAACGTGATCGTCAGAAATAAAATTCATAAAGAAACGACGTAAAAGAATAATATGGTTTAATTTTGGTAGAAAACAAAAAGAGATTTAATTTCTTTGGAGAATTAAATGTAAAATAAATTTACGAGACTGAAATTGTTAAAAAATTGTTAAAAAACCGATTATAGTAAACA